GAGGAGGGGGAGGAGGCGGAGGATGAGGAGGAGGAGGAGACGGAGACGGAGACGGAGGAGGAGGAGGAGGAGGAGGAGGAGGAGGAGGAGGAGCGAGGAGCGAGGAGCGAGCAGCGAGGAGCGAGGAGCGAGGAGCGAGGAGGAGGAGGGGAGGAGGAAGAGGAGGAGGAGGAGGAGGAGGAGTTGGAGGATGGCGAATAATAATAATTATTATTATGATGATAATAATAATAATAATAATATGAAGAAGAAGAAGACGAAGACGACGAATACTAAGAATAAGACGAAGAAGACGAATCGGAACCATACGAAACATACTACGACGAATACTACGAATGATGATGATGATAATGATAATAATAATAATAATAATACGACTAATAATACTAATATTAATACTAATAGTAATAATAATAATAATATTACAACTAAGAATAATAGTAATAAGAATAGTATGAATAATCATAATAATATTACTAGTCATACATATATTATTAAAGAATCATAATAACAACAATAATAATATTAACAGTAATACTAATACTAATACTCATAATAATGAAACTATTCATACTAATACTTTCAATGGTGATGCTGCTGATGCTGATGATGATGATAATAATACTAATAGTAATACTACTACTAATATTAGTATTATTAACAATAATAGTACGAATACTAATCTTAATAATAATAATAATACTAATAATAATACTAATACTAATAATAATAATAATAACATTAATAATAATAATACTACGAGAAGAAGACGAAGACGACGAATACGAATACGAAGAATAATAAGATGAGGAGGACGAGGAAGAGGAGGAGGAGGAGGAGGGGGAGGAGGAGCGAGGAGCGAGGAGGAGCGAGGAGGAGGAGGAAGAGGAAGAGGAAGAGGAGACGGACGCGGAGTAGGAGGAGTAGGAGGAGGAGGAGGAGGAGGAGGAGGAGGAGGAGAGAGGAGGAGAGGAGGAGGAGGAGGAGGAGGAGGAGGAGGAGGAGGAGGAGCAGGAGGAGGAGGAGGAGGAGGAGGAGGAGGAGGAGGAGGAGGAGGAGGACCAGGAGCGAGGAGGAGCAAGGAGGAGCGAGGAGCGAGGAGCGAGGAGGAGAAGGAGGAGGAGGAGGAGTGGAGGAGGAGGAGGAGGAGGAAGGAGGAGGAGGAGGAGGAGGAGGAGGAGGAGGAGGAGGAGGAGTAGGAGGAGGAGGAAGGAGACGGAGGAGGAGGAGGAGGAGGAGGGAGGAGGAGGAAGAGGAGCGAGGAGCGAGGAGGAGGAGCGAGGAGGAGGAGCGAGGAGCGAGGAGGAGCGAGGAGGAGCGAGGAGTAGACGGAGGAAGAGGAGGAGGAGGATGGATGAAGCAGAGAGGGAGAAGATGGCATGAGTGGCACCTGCGAGGAGAAGGAGGACAAGTATGGGAGGAGGAGGAGGAGGAGGAGGAGGAGGAGGAGGAAAAGGAGGAGGAGGAGGACCAGGACCAGGACCAGGACCAGGACCAGGACCAGGACGAGGACGAGGACGAGGACGAGGACGAGGACGAGGGCGAGGACGAGGACGAGGGCGAGGAGCGAGGAGGAGGAGGAGCGAGGAGGAGGAGGAGGAGGAATGAGGTTGGATGGGAAGAGGGGGCTTACGTCGCCAGTGTTGTGAAATAGTGAAGCCGTCTTCTGAAGGTCTTACCGCCGTCTTGGGGCCAGAAAAGGCGCCAGACAGAGGCACATGACTTCTTTTTTTCTGTACACCGTACCGCGAGGAAGGGAGCATTTCCTTGTGCTAGACACCTGACAGGCATTCGAACACGAAGCAATATGCCGATGAGGACGGTGGCGGAACTGCGCTCCTCTCCTACGATTGGCAGTCTGCTCAGGCTCCTCATTCTTCTCCTCCCCCTCCTGGATGTTTGTTTCGCCGTCTTCGTCACTGCCCCTCCCCGCCAGGAGGCGGGCGGAACGGTGCTGGATTGCTCTGACCTTAAGGACGCGGCCCCGCACCCGCTCGCCGCATGCCGCGAGCTCCTCTCGGACGCAATCCTACGCGCTCGGCCGGCTCGGCAGCTGGTCTGCGCGTGCGTGCTCCCTCCTCGCCCTCGTCGCCTCAGGGGCCCTCGAGGAGGAGGAGGAGGAGGAGGAGGAGGAGGAGGAGGAAGAGGAGGACGACGATGACGAGGGCCGAGTTGCTGTTCCGTTTTCGGCCCTCTGTGGGCCTTCGCTTGGCCCCTGCGCCGTCAAGCAACGACTCGGGATGGAGAACAGGCCCCCAGGGACGAGGTCCAGGATCTCTGGATACCCCTAGTTGAGAAATTTGAGCGAGTCGCATGTCTGGGCGCTGTCCATATCCTCCTCCTCCTCCTCCTCCTTTTCCTCCTCCTCCTCCTCCTCCTCCCTCCTCCTCCTCCTCCCTCCTCCTCTCTCCTTGAGGGGCGAGGCCTCCTCCGCCTTCTCCTCCTCTCCTCTCCCCTCCTCCTCCTCCTCCTCCTCCTCCTCCTCCTCCTCCCCCTCCATTCCTTTTCCTTATAACAAACTTTCCCTGTCGCACCCCGAGGCCAGTTTTTAGGGCTGGCCGGGCGTTTCACCTCAGACGTCCTCACCATTTATGCTTCTGAAGCTGTAGAATTGGCAACCGCTTCACAGATGGAGGGCGGGTGGTTTTCAAAATGTGGCTCTCGCCTTAGCGCGGCGCGCCTTCTTTTTCAGCATTTGCAAGAGTTCCACGGATTGCGGGCGAGTGGTTTTCAACATGTGGCTCTCGCTTTAGCGTTGCGCGCATTATTTTTGAACAATGCAAGGGCTTCACGGATTGATGGCGGTTCTTTTTCAAAATGTGGTTCTCGCTTGAGCGCGGCGCACGTTCGTTTGAACAAATTGCACGAGTTCCACGGGTTGAGGGCGAGTGGTTTTCAAAAGTTGGCTCTGGTTTTAGCGCGGCGCACATTCTTTTTAACATGTTGCAAGGGTTTCACGGGTTGAGGGCGGTTTCTTTTCAAAAGGTGGTTCTCGCTTTAGCGCCGCGCACATTTGTTTCAAACATTTGCAAGAGTTTGACGGGTTCCCAGAAACGGTGTTTTGAAAGGATTCCGGGTTATGTGGGTGCAGGAGTTTCGTTGATTCTTTGTGCTGAAGTCCTAGGAATGGGGTTCTGGCACGATTCAGGATCGTCAAGACGCAACAGTCAGGTTGATCCGCGGCGTTGGAATCCCGAGACCAATGTTTTGGCATGCTTCAGGGTCTTCAAACGGGTGTCTTCCAACGAGGCAGTTCCATCAATAGAAATGAACCGTTGTAGGGGCCTACAAAGTGGGAGCTTGGAGGGATGGTTTCCTCCAACATCGTTGAAGACTCTTGGGTTTACACTGGTCCTCCTCCTCCTCCTCCTCCTCCTCCTCCTCCTCCTCCTCCTCCTCCCCCGTCCCTCCTGTTCCATCCTCCCTCCTCCTCCTCCTCCCGCCGTCCCCGCCTCAAGCCGCTGCTGATGGGGTCGGAGGAGGGTGGAGTGCAGAACAGCCAGAGGGAGAAGTGGTGGAGGGCGCGAAGGCGTGAGCGATGCATCAATGGCGGACGGCAGCTTGGGCAGAGGAAGTGGAGGAGCGGGAGGGGAGGAGAGGGGTTAGCAGGGGCGGATAGCGAGAGGGAGGGGTCTGTGACCACTTGCGAACCCTACCCCCTACGGGTCCAACCGACGTTGGGGTATCGGGCACCCGTTGGGGTCCATTTGGTTGCAGACACCCTTCAATGTGTGGTCCCCACCTGGTGTTTCTGAACTCTAACCCACGGGGGTAGGGTTCACATCTGGTTCCAAATGGGGGAAGCGGGTACGTAAGGGGTCACGGGGATCGACCTAAACGGTGTTTTGGCAATTTCGTGGGTTGTTTTCGTTTCGATATCGTTTTGCAGCAAAGGCGGATTGAAGAGCAAACCAGGGGAACGAAAACAAAACGAAAACGAGAAACACTTTTTAGGTCGATCCCTGAGGGGGAAGGGGGTGGGCCGGGATGTTGGAGGACGCGGAGGCGTGAGCGGGGCTTGCAGGACCACTGCAAAAACGGCGAGCACACGGACTACGTGAGCAAGAAGTGTCCAGCCACGTGCGGGATTTGCAAGGAGTGCGCGGGGAAGGGGTGCGCGTGGAGGACGCGAACAGGCGGAGGAGGAGGAGGAGGGAAGGAAGGAAGGAAGGAATAAAAGGACGAAAACAAGTAGGACAAAAAAGGGAAGGAGGAGGAGGAGGAGGGGAAGAGGAGGAGGAGGAAGAGGAGGAGGAGGAAGCGAAGGCGGAGGAGGAGAGAGGAGGAGGGCGGAGGATAGTGGTGATGATGAGGAAAAGGCGTACACAAAACATCGCTCCTGCCCTTCTGACTCTTCTCGCCGATTTCATCCGCGCCAGCTTCTTGCTTGCCAGTTTCTTCTCGCTACCTTCTTCTGCGTCTCCTCCGCGCCAGTCTCGCTCTCTGGTCTCATCCGCTCTTGTGGTCCAGCCTCACCCCTCCCACCCGTCTCTCCGGGCGGCTGCCTTGCTGCGTCGTTGGGCAGCACCCGCCATCCGCTCACGCCAGCGCTTGTCGCAATCCGTTAACGCTGGCATACTACATGCGTTACGCATTATCACCACCCCCATCTCCATCGGCTCGCACCATCCGCATCACCACGCGCCCTGCGGCGGCGACACCACCACCCACCCACCCACCCACCCACCCAATCACACTCACACCCACACCCACGCGCACACCGACACCCACACCCACGCCCACACCCGCATCCACACCCACCCACACACATACACTTTTTGGCGTCGCGGTCCCGCGCGCAGCTACAGGGCGTAGAACACACACAACACGTAATCACATACACACACACACACACACACTGTTCATTATCCGTAAGGGCTTCGCCCCCTGCCGCCGGCCCCCTCTCTCGGATAATGGGCAATGCAAGAGTGAAATCATGAGGCCTTGGCGCCGCCGTGAAGCAGCGTCGGGACTTCACGAGAAGACGATGAGTAACCGGCAAGACAAATTAAGACTCTGATGATATTGTTGAATTCGGTGTTGTATTTCGATGGTTTATGGCTTCGGATACGCGAATGGCGCGTAATTTACGAGTGTGTATGGCTTCAGGCTCGCAAATATAGAGTAATTTACGCAGGCTTATGGCTTCGGAGACGCGAATATTGAGTACTTTACGGGGGTGTATGGCTTCGGACACGCGATTATTGTGTAAATTACGAGGGCTTATGGCTTCGGGGTCGCAGATATTGCATCATTTGCTAGGTTTTATGTCTTCGGATACGCGACTATTGCGTAATTTACTGGGGGGTATGGCGTCGGGGACGCGAATATGGCATGATTTACAAGCGTTTGTGGCCTCGGGGATGCAAGCATTGCATAATGTATGAGGGTTTATGGCTTCGGGGACACGAGTATGGCGTATTTTGTTAGTGCTTCGGGGGCGCGAATCTAGTGTAATTGGGTTTATGGTCTCGGGGAAGCGAATATGGTATAATTTAGGAGGGTTTATGGCCTCGGGGGCGCGAATTTCATGTATCTTTACATGTTCCCCCCAGGAATTCAGAGCACCCGATTCGGGATGGTAACTAGGTTCCTTCTCGGCTCCCCCCCCTCGCGCGGTCCGGTCCATCAACAAGGAACAGTCAGAAGCAAGAAGCAGAACTGTAACAGTGGAAACTGGAAACTGGAACTGGCGCAGGGAGCAGCAAGCCTTGGTCCTACAGCCTGTTGACCCCACAAGTGGGCCAGCGGACCTAGGACGAATTGTTACCTAACAGCGAAGACTGATAGGTTTCTAGTGGTGTAAAAAGAGAGCAGCACATTACTCCACAGGGGGGTCTGGGCAGCCGTTGGGGGCCGTTGGGGGGCCGTTGGGGTTTGCCGGGGGGGATCGTTTTTCGAATACAGTCACACACTTCGTGCTTTCCGATTTCCCAGAACTCCATTCCCGGGCCACATTCTGAATGCCTGGAGCCAACTGTAGGCCACTTCGTGCTCTTCGACTTCCCAGAACTCCATTCCCGGGCCACATTTTGAATGCCCGGAGCCACCTGTAGGCCACTTCGTGCTCTTCTACTTCCCAGAACTCCATTCCCGGGCCACATTTTGGATGCCCGGAGCCAACTGTAGGCCACTTCGTGGTGTTCGAGTTCCCAGAACTCCATTCCTGGGCATGATTTTGAATGCCCGGAGCCAACTGTAGGCCATTTCGTGTTCTTCGAGTTCCCAGAACTCCATTCCCGGGCCACACTTTGAATGCTGAGGCAGGCTGATGCTGAGGCTGAGGCAGGCTGAGGCTGAAGGCAGACTGAAGCTGAGGACGAGGCTGAAGGCAGACTGAGGCTGAGGCTGAAGCAGGCTGAGGCTGAGGCTGAGGCAGGCTGAGGCTGAGGCTGAGGCAGGCTGATGCTGAGGCAGGCTGAGGCTGAGGCTGAGGCTGATGCAGGCTGAGGCTGAGGCTGAGGCCGAGGCTGAAGGCAGACTGAGGCTGAGGCTGAAGCAGGCTGAGGCTGAGGCTGAGGCAGGCTGAGGCTGAGGCTGATGCAGGCTGATGCTGAGGCAGGCTGAGGCTGAGGCTGGCTGATGCAGGCTGAGGCTGAGGCAGGCTGAGGCTGAGGCCAAGGCTGAAGGCAGACTGAGGCTGAGGCTGAGGCTGAGGCTGAGGCTGAGGCTGAGGCTGAGGCAGGCTGAGGCTGAGGCTGAGGCTGAGGCAGGCTGATGCTGAGGCAGGCTGAGGCTGAGGCTGATGCAGGCTGAGGCTGAGGCAGGCTGAGGCCGATGACTGAGGCTGAGGCTGAGAGGCTGAGGCTGAGGCTGAGGCTGAGGCTGAGGCTGAGGCAGGCTGCAGGCTGAGGCTGAGGCTGAGGCAGGCTGAGGCTGAGGCAGGCTGAGGCTGAGGCTGAGGCTGCTGAGGCAGGCTGAGGCTGAGGCTGAGGCTGAGGCTGAGGCAGGCTGAGGCCGAGGCTGAAGGCAGACTGATGTTGAGGCTGAAGCAGGCTGAGGGCGAGGCTGAGGCAGGCTGAGGCTGAGGCAGGCTGAGGCTGAGGTGAGGCTGAGGCAGGCTGAGGCCGAGGCTGAAGGCAGACTGATGTTGAGGCTGAAGCAGGCTGAGGGCGAGGCTGAGGCAGGCTGAGGCTGAGGCAGGCTGAGGCTGAGGCTGAGGCAGGCTGAGGCTGAGGCTGTGACTGCGACTGCTGTTGCCACTGCGACTGCCATCGCGAATGCGACCACGACTGCGAGAACAGCAGAATTCTACAACAGGATTCTTATCTGAGTCTTAAGGGGAATGCTTCCAGATATGCTCCTACACATCGCTGTTAGGTTGCTTTGCCGGGGGTAATTTTTGTCAAACCGATGTTTCTCAACCGTTTGCGGGTGACCCATTGGGTCACCTGCGTGGTGCCTGCTTCATGCGGGACATGTATCGACCTGGGAATACATCGCCTCATGTTGAGGTTCAGAATGCAAGTGACACAGAAGGTTTGTCTAAACTTGTTATTGGGTGACATAACCGCCTGTGGGTCACCTGCGTGGTGCCTGCTTCATACGGGGGAGGTCTTGAGTGGGAGCGCATCTACTCATGTTGGGGCCTCGAATCCGAGTGACACCATGTGTTTTTCTTCAACCAGTTTTCGGGTGATCCACCCGCCTGTGGGTCACATGCGTGGTGCCTGCTTCACGTGGCCAATGCGCGAAATGGGAACACATGATTGCGGGCTCTGGGCCCACGGGCCCCCCCCCCTGATGGGATGGGTCCCAGGGTCCTCGGGCCCCCCCCCCCCAGATGGGATGGGGGGAGGAGGGGGAGGAGGAGGAGGAGGAGGAGGAGGAGGAGGAGGAGGAGGAGGAGGAGGAGGAGGAGAGGACGACGACGACGACGACGACGACGACGACGACGACGACGACGACGACGACGACGAGGACGACGACGACGACGACGACGACGACGACGACGACGACGACGGCGGCGGCGGCGGCGGCGGCGGCGACGACGATGACGACGACGACGACGGACGACGGCGGACGACGACGGACGACGACGACGACGACGACGCCGACGGCGACGACGTCGAGCATTGGAGCTTTCCGAAAGCACGTCAGCATGACGCCACAATCACAGCCACACGCACACCCACACCACACCCACAGGCGGGGAGGGGGGGAGGAATAACCACCCGGACCGGACAATTGGCGTTTACTAAACGGCTTCGGGCGTTTACTAAACAGCCCTGCCCTGTTTGATTCTTTCTTTGGGTGCGTTTACTAAACGGCTTCGCGTGTCGGGGTAGTTATTATCGGGGTGGATTTTCTGCCCTTTAGGGGAGGGGGGGAGGACATTGGGTCACCCCACACACACCCACAGCAACACACCACACCCACACCACATCCACAGGGGGAGGGGGGGTTGGGGGACCATCGCGCGGTGGGGGGGGGGGGGGGCGATGGCATCAGCATTGGGGGGGGGGGGCCCCAAACCCTCGACCATGCATCACCTCATGTTGAGTCCCAGACTGGAAGTGAACCAGTCTGTTTTTGTGTGTTCTATAACCAGTTTTCGGTTGACCCACCCGCCTGTGGGTCACCTGCGTGGCGACTGCATCAGGCGGGAAATGCACGGAATTGGAATGTGTCACCGCTTGTTGGGGCCAAGAATGTAATGACACAATCGGTTTTTCTCAACCAGTTTTTGCGTGACCCATACGCTTGTGTGTGTCACTTGTCTGTGGGTCACCTGCGTGGTTTCTGCATCATGCGGGAATGCACTGACTGAGAATGTACCACCTCACCCTGGGGCCCAACATGCACGTGAAACAATCCGTTGTTCTGAACCAGCTTTCGGGTAGCCCACCCCCGTGTGGGTCACATGCGCGCTGTCTCTCCCATACAGTGAATGCACTGACTGGGAATGGGTCGCCTCATGTTTAGGGCCCAGAATACAAGTGTCATAAGTTGTTTTTCTGAATGAATTCTCGGGTGGCCCACCCGTCTGCGGGTCACCTGCGCGGTGCCTGTCTCATGCGGGTCGTGTATTGGATGGGGCAACCACGTCTCACGCTGCAGCCCAGAACGCAAGTGCAACATTTGTTTTTTTCTCTTCCGCCAGCTTCTGGGTGATCAACCCTCCTGCGGGTCCCCTTCGTGGTGCCTGCTTCTCGCGGGAAGCGCATGGAGCTGGAATGCATCATCCATGTTGGGGTTCCGAATACACGTGACGCAATTATTATTCCTCAAGGCCTGGTAGTCGCAAGACAAACGCTGTACACACGGATAGTGGCTCCTGCTAGGCAGAAGCTCGGCCAATTGCATTGCCAAAGCGGTTGCGGCAGCGCCTTTGGCTATGACGTGGGATCGGCCGCTGCGTTGAGCGGCTCGGCGAAGTTCCTTGTCGGCTTCGTCGAGGTTCGGGTTTGTATCAGCCAGTTTGTGTCAGCCAGCTTGGGTGACCCACCCGCCGGTGGGTCACCTGCGTGGTGTTTGCTTCACGCGGGAAAAATATTGAATGCGTAATGCATCACCTCATATCGAGGCCCAGAGTGCAAGTGGCACCCGCCTGTAGGTCACTTGCTCTGGAGGTGGACAGAGTATACGTCCAACACTTTGGTTTCCTTATCCAGTTTTCGAGTGGCCCACCCGCCTGTGGGTCACTTGCGTGGTGCCTGCGTCATGCGCGGCATGTATTGATGCCCCATGCTGGGGCCCAGACTGCAGGTGGTAGAACTTGCTTTTCTCAACCAGTTTTCGGGTGACCCACCCGCCTGTGGTCATCTTCGCAGTGCCTGCTTCACGCGGGGAACGTCGATATCGAAGGGGAATACATCACCTCGTGTTGGGGCCCAGAATGAAAGTGTCACAATCTGTTTTCTGAACCAGTTTCGGGTGACCCACCCGCCTGTGGGTCACCTGTGCGGTACTGACCTCATGCGGGGAAGTCATTCGATGGGAATGCGGCACCCCATGGTGGCCATGGCGGGGCCTAGAGTGCAAGTGAAGCGGATGGTTTTTCTCAACCAGTTTTCGGGTGACCCACCCGCCTGTGGGTCACCTGCGTGGTGCCTGCTTCATGTAGGAAGCGCATCGACAGGTAATACATCACCCCATGTAGGGGCCCCGAATGCACGCGAAACAGCGGGCTATTATCAACCAATGTTCGGGTGACCCAGCCGCCAGTGGGTCACCCGTGCGGTGCTCGGCTCTGGCGGGGAATTTATCGAATGCGGATACTTTATCTCATAAGTAGTGGAAAACAGGGTGCAAGTAAAACAATTGCTTTGTCTCAACCAATTGCCGGGTCCTGTGGGTTACCTGCGTGCTGCCTACTTCACACGGGCAACGTATCGAATGGGAGTACATATTCATGGTGGGGACCAGGATGCACATGACATCATGGGGCAGTCTTGATCGTTGTCGGGTGGCCCACCCACCGGTGGGATACATGCGTGGCGTCTGCTTCACAGTGGGAAGTGCATTGAATGGGAATGGATCACCTTATGCTGGGGCCGAGGATGCAGGTGATAACATCAGTTTTTATCCGACGGTTTTCGGGTGACCTACCCGCCTGTGGGCCCCCTGCGTAGTGCCTGCCTCGTGCGGGACATGTACCGACCGGGGATACATCACCCCATGTTGGGGCACATGATCAGATCGTTACCACTGGCAATCCTACCTCAACCAGCTTCTGGGCGACCCACCCGCCTGTGGGTCACCTGCGTGATGCCTGCTCCATGTGGGAAATGCACTCATATGAAATCAGTGCCCCATGTCTGGGCTCAGATGCAGATGCAACAGTTTGATGTTTTGACAAGGTTTCGGGTGAACCACCCGCCTGTGCGTCACCTGCGTGGTGCCTGCCTCATGCGGGAAATGCGTCGGATGAGAATACATCACCCCATGTTGGGGCCTAGGATGCAAGTGACACTGCTGGTTTTTCTCAACCAGCTTCCTGGTGAACCATCCGCCTCTGGGTCACCCGCGTGGTGCCTGCTTCTTATGGGAATCATATCGAACGGGGATACATCACCGCATGTTGGGCTCGTTGTCGTCGTCGTCGGTTCTCTGCGTTCGTCGTCGTCGTCTGCGTCGTCGGCGTCGTCGATTACGGCGGACCCTCGCAGCTCCCCCCTCCCTCCATGGGGAATCCGCAGCGGCGCGCGTCCTCGGTCGTCGTCGTCCGTCGTCGTTCGTTGTCGTCCGTCGTCGTCGTCGGTGTCGTCGCGGTAGTAGTCGCCGTCGTCATCGTTGTCGCCGCCGCCGCCGTCGTCGTCGTCGTCGCCGTCGTCGCGGTAGTCGTCGTCGTCGTCGTCGCCGTCGTCGTCGTCATCGTTGTCGCCGCCGTCGTCGCCGCCGCCGCCGTCGTCGTCGTCGTCGTCGCCGTCCCGTCCATGGCTTGCCTCCCCCTATGGGTTGCCCCGCCTAGTTTGCCTCCCGTAGGCCTCTCCCCGTAGGCTTCTCCCCCGCAGGCCAAGTCAAGGAAGCTCTCTGGGCCGCCCGCCCAGCCGAGAATAACTGACGTCTCGCGCCACCCTCGTTTCAAATTCACCGTCCATGCTCAAGGTGCTGGATGTCTCAGAGAGGACCAAAAGCCAAGGATATCTCAAGATATCCTCGGCTTTCGCTCCTCTTGATCATCTCCTTATGCTGGCCTCCAGTGGGCAACATTTATAATCCCCCCGCGACCCCGAACTTTATTATCCTTGTGCGTTTATTCTCCGAGGCATAGGGTTAATGATTGTAAACGGTAGTCTTCGTCGGCAAACGCGGGGCCACCCTGGAGTGTCAAGCCCCAGACTGGCTCCCAGAAGATAGTATTACACATCGTGTTGTTTTTGAGCAGCTTGCGATTATTGGGGAATTCCAGGGTCACCACGGAATTACACCCAAATACCCAAGACTAAGAAAACAAACGATGATATTGAACAGCCTTCAGCGCCGATTCATGACATACATGCATGTATATATGCACATATACGTATACATACATCCACATACCATTGTACACACATGTCTATATGTATAGGTTTCCTTGTTTCTACATATATATGTATATATATGTTTGTATATGCATACACGGGCAAGGTGCATGTGCGCATTATGTATATAGAACTTGTTGGTGGCAAACAAGTTGTATTGGTTGTCCCCCTCTTTGTTGTCGTCCACCCCTTATCCACAATAATCACTCACGCATGTGCGCTCTCGTTCGGTCTCGCTCCACTTGGTTGCGTTCTCTCCGCCCACGTTCTGTGTCGCAGTGGCCCCGGAAGCCTGGTCGCGCCAGCGCTAGTGCAAAAACATGCTCTAGAGCGGGGTTGCTAGAACCCAGGAGTTGGAGTTGAACAAGAAGGTGGACGCGGAAATGGCTGCGGCCATGGCTGCCAAGGCCAATGCCCGCGTTGGTTGGGAGCGAAGCGGCACGGTTTTGGGGATGCAGGTTGTTCGGGGCTTGATGTGAATGATGCCGACTCTTTGTGTTGCGCATGAGGCGGATCGTGGTCCGTAGCGGAAGCGACTGGGTGGCGAGAGCGGATGGCGAGGCGGTATTCGGGCACTAATTGGCGATCTCTTGTACCCCCACCAGCTCATCCAGAAATCTGTCTCCCGTGAGACACGGAGCGGAGGCTAATCAATGAAGCACCGAGGGGAGAAACGAGGAGGAGGAGGAGGAGGAGGAGGACGAGGACGAGGACGAGGGCGAGGAGGATGAAACAGACGAGGACGAAGAGCAGAAATAACGATGAGGAGTTGGCGACAGAGCGGTGCAGATGACAAGCGAGAATGGCGGATGAATGAACGACAAGGGGGAAGGGGGAAGGAGGAGGAGGAGGAGGAGGAGGAGGAGGAGAGTGGAGGTGGGGGGGAGGGAGGAGGAGGAGGAGGAGGAGGAGGAGGAGGAGGAGGGGAGGAGGAGGAGGGAAGGAAGGAGAGAGAGGAGGAGGAGGACGAGGAGGAGGAGGAGGAGAAGAAGAAGGAGGACGGGTGGGAATGAAGGATGCGGGAAGAGGACGAAGAGAAAAGGGAGAAGGTAACGACGATAATGATGCACATGAGACGGAGGAGAAAGAGGAGGAGGAGGAGGAGGAGGAGGAAGAGGAGGAGGAGGAGGAGGAGGAGGAATTGGAAGGCATGGATGACGATTCCGAGGAGGATCAGGAGCATGAAGAGGAAGATTTCTAGGAAGATGGGAGGAGCTGGATTGGGGGGGCGGGATCGAGGTTTAGAGGGAGGGATGGAGGAGGATGAGGAGGAGGAGCAGGAGCAGCATGACAAATGCATAGGCAGGGGTGGGAGAGGACGTGAGGAGAAGTGGCAGGAGGGAGGAGGAAGAGGATAAGGTGGTGAGGACGATACTGAAAGAAGAGAAGGGGGAGGAGGAGGGGGAGGAGGGAGGAAAAGATAAGAAGGAGAAGGAGGGGGGAGGAGGAGGAGGAGTAAGGAGGAGGAGGAGGAGGAGGCGGCGGAGGCGGAGGCGGAGGCGGAGGCGGAGGCGGAGGCGGAGGAGGAGGCGGGGGCGGGGCGGGGGGGCGGAGGCGGAGGCGGAGGCGGAGGCGGAGGCGGAGGCGGAGGCGGAGCGGAGGCGGAGGCGGAGGCGGAGGCGGAGGAGGAGGAGGAGGAGGCGGAGGCGGAGGCGGAGGCGGAGGCGGAGGAAGAAGAGGAGGAGGAGGAGGAGGAAGAGGAGGAGGAGGAGGAGGAAGAGGAGGAGGAGGAGGAGGAGGAGGGAGAGGAGGAGGGAGAGGAGGAGGAGGGAGGAGGAGGGAGGAGGAGGGAGGAGGAGGAGGGAGGATGATGGAGGAGGAGGAGGAGGAGGAGGAGGAGGAGGAGAGGAGGGGGAGGGGGAGGAGGGAGGAGGAGGAGGGAGGAGGAGGGAGGACGATACTGAGGAGGAGGAGGAGGAGGAGGAGGAGGAGGAGGAGGGCTCGAGGGCTCGAGGCCAACGCGCACAAGTCTGTGACGAGCGGGCGGGCCGAACAGGAAGGGAGAGCACGGCCTGGCTACCAGCCAGGTAGAGCTCCTCGCCTGGCACGGCCAGGCGGACAGTATTGGAGGGGGGCCGTCACATTTTGTCAGGCATTGGAGCGGCTTTGCACAGGCGGGGTTCCTCCGCCCCTGGCAGGCCCCCCTCCCCAAAAAACTGAAAGCAAAACGAGTTGCATCAGTCCGATCCCGACTCCACCCCGAGGTCCCCACCCAGCTCCCCTCCAGACAGGGCCGCCTCCCACAATCGGAGGGCAGCGGCGACGTGAGCGGGAGCCTGCGGGCAGGACGGTGTTGCTGCACTGGCGGCGGCACCAGGGGCGGTCGGGTCGACAGGCTGGGCAGCGCTGAGGGGCTCCAGTCGCTGCCCAGTCCGAGGATGGAAGCCACGCGAAGCATAGTTTATCTTCAGGGCCTGGCTCGATCGGGTACTCGCGTGGACACTGCGCCCGGAGGCTAAGTCCACGCGCACGCCCATCGGGCAATAACAAGTGAGCACTGCACAGATAGCAATAAATCACTCGGCCCTCTCGCTCAACGGCGTGGCCGAGGTCTCTCCAGTGGCTATACGCCTCAGGCTGAGGTGGTGCAGGCACGGGAGCGGGCCCCAGGACAACACTGGCAAACGACAACGCTTCCTGCACCGCCTCCGACCTGACAGGCGTGGCACTGGCCCCGTGGGCCTGAAAGAACTCCTCTGCTTGAAACGCCTGCACTGCAGTGGGCTTGCACTCGCGAAGATTCCCTGACCGCAGCTGAAGCAGAGAGTCGTGGGTGCGCGCCCACAAATTACACTGCTTGCACCTCCACTCGCCCTTCGCAGGAAAGTGAAATAGTTCGTGCTGCACCAGCACGGCTTGAGGCGTATACTGGCGGCACGCTGGCTGGGCATCAGGGGTCGAGAGGTCTGATGAAAGCAAAGCGATCGATTGGGCGAACCGACTCAGGAAGTCGAAGTCTTTCCTGATGTCGGCTAGATGCTGCTTCTGAGCATCGACTACAGAAGTGGCAACCGCGTGGCCCTCGGACCCCAACCTGGCGAAAAAATCGGCCCAGAGGTTACCGAGGAAATCCTGAATTTCTTGGGCCGAGGAAAGGTCCAGGATATCGTCCCACTCTCTGTGGGCTTTAATCCACTGGAAGGTGGAACGCGCCTGACCATCCTGAAATAGATCAAAAATGCTGCGCCAGATGTCCGCATGCAAGGCTTGGCCCTGCGCAAGGGCTGGGGACCACTCCGTCCCCTCGCGCACGGCTGATAAATGATCAGACACTACCTGGGCGTTTGGGGGGGCTCGCCGAAGGGCTTGGAGAATAGCGTAGCGCTCAGCCCGAGGCACCGGCTGGCGCCACCCAGGGAGGGCCCCGAACACCGCACGGATCGGGAGCCCCTCTGGGCCCAACTCCACCGCAGCAAATCCACACCGTCTAAATTCTGGACTGGAGCTCGCCAATCCCGAACCGTCGGTGTAAATGCGCCGCCCCCATGGCCCAAGGGCGAGACCCCAGGAATGAACGGGGAGCTCCGAGGGGACTGGGGGAACCTTGCACCTCTGGAAGGGGAAACAGTGGGCGAGCTCAAGCGTGTCCCAGTCGGGGTCCCCAAGACCAGTCTCAACTCTCGCACGGAGCACACCTCTCCATTCCACGACGTCATCAGGATGACATGAATCAAATTGACGAGGGCAATCGAGCACGGGTTCGCAATCGTAAAGTTGGTGGCCCAGTGTCCCAGCGTCTTTCTTGCCACAAACCTGGCAGTCCGAGCAGTTGCTGTAACCAGCTGCTTTCGGACGGGCAGGAGGCCACATCGCTGACCCCAGGACACACCGCGCAGCCCCTTGGCGTTTCTGGTCCGAGATTTTCAGCACACCGTGACGAAGCCCCCTCACCCAGATCTCCTCGGAACCAGTCGCCTCGGGGACGTGCTGGAGCGTGCGTCTGGCCTGCCACCTAGCTATGCCGGGGTGCAGCGCAGCACACACACACACACACATCACGCGGGCACTCGCGCAGCAGGTTGTGCACGTGCCCCTCATCACTTTCGATAAGGTGGGCCGACCGCATACACCAGCCTACTCGTCGCAAGCTCAGCAAAACGGCCGAGACGGGACCTTTACACACTTTCCAAGACTGGGCGTCCTGAACACGGCCCGAAATCTCAAGCCAGGCTCGCTGGAGCCGACCCAGGGAGATTCTGCTATCCCAAATCATGGAACAGTATCTCAAAAGCAACGGAACGCAAGCGTCAAACACTGGATCGAAATACTGATCACGCTGCGTCATTAGCCAAGCAGTGAGGGAGCCTGACCGCTTAGCACCGACTAGCGAGCCAGCGAGCGTGCGTAAGGCCATGAGGGTGCTGTCGGTGGCGCCAGACACGCCCGCGCCGTGAACGCCCGCTGGGAGCACACCTGTGCGCCAGAGGGCCTTTACCAGGGGCTCCACGCTTCAGCTCGAGCAGCTTGCGCTTGAGGAGGAGGAGGAGGAGGAGGAGGAGGACGAGAAGAAGGAGGACGGGTGGGAATGAAGGATGCGGGAAGAGGACGAGGAGAGAAGGGAGAAACATACCAATAATGATGCACATGAGAAGGAGAGAGAGGGAAGAGGAGGAAAAGGAGAAGGAGGAGGAATTGGAAGGCGCGGATGACGATTCCGAGGAGGAACAGGAGCATGAAGAGGAAGACTCCTTGCAAGATGGGAGGAGCTGGATTGAGGGGGCGGGATCGAGGTTAAGAGGGATGGAGGAGGAGGAGGAGGAGGAGGAGGAGGAGGAGCAGGAGCAGCAGGACAAATACATAGGCAGGGATGGGAGAGGATGTGAGGAGAAGGGGCAGGAGGGAGGAGGAAGAGGAGAAGGTGGTGAGGACGAGGAGGAAAGAAGAGAATGGGGGAGGGGGGGGAGGGAGGAGGGAGGAAAGGAGAGAGAGGGTGGATGGGGAAGGATGAGAAGGGGACAGCAGACGCGTCAGCAACAGTTCCAACTTAAGCATCTCAGCTTTAGTATTATGTCAGCCACACCTTTCTTGTCCCCTCTGTGGAAAAGGTCACCACTATAACTATAACGACAACGACCACAACCCCCATGCGGGAAATAGAGGCGTCTTCTTCTTCGCTCCTCTTTGCTGAACGTGCTCTGCCTGTTGTTTGTCGGTGTGGGCATATTGTGGTGGACGGTACAATCATCAGTGCTGATCGGGCAGGGTTCGGCTTGCAGCGAGAGGTGTCAAGGAGTTATTGTCTGATTGCGCTTCGTGTTGGACAGCATATTTGGTGACGGACTCCATTGTGCCATGCCGGTCGATCCCCAACTGCGCTGCCGCGCGAATTTGATCGGACGAGAACGGGAAGCGCCGATTTCTCAGTTGGGCTCGTAGGGGGGAAAGGAAGAGAAGGATGATGGCGACGACAAGGCGGCGGATGACGAGGATGACAGCGTGGATGACGGGGAGGGCAGCGAGAGGCGCAGGAGGACAACGAGTAGGAAGACAAGCACGAGGACGAAGAGGAAGAGATGGAAGAGGACACGTACGAGGAGGACTGAGGAGGAGGAGGAGGAGGAGGAGGAGGAGGAGAAGAAGAAGAAAGACGACGACGACGACGACGACGACGACGACGACGACGACGACGACGACGACGACAACGAAGGAGGACGGTAAGGAGCCCGAGGGAGAGGACGTCGAAGTAGGGGGATCTTCGTGATGTTTTGAGGCTACCCTGGTGGCTGTTGGTGCCGTCTGGGGTTGTCGCCAGTTCGTCGGCGCGCGAGCGGGCGAAAAGACAGACTTCTGGGGCCGTGAAGGGTCCTTGGGGTTTTTGGAGGGCTTCTTGAGAGCTCCCTGGGAGCCTCTCGCGGGGGCTCGTGGGGATCTCCGCGCGCTCTTGGGGGGCCTCTTGAGGTCCCTCTGGGCGCTCTATGGGTGCCCTTTTGAGCCGTCGGTCTTCGCGGGCCCCAATGGTCCGTCAGGGCTGCCTTGGCGCTGTCTTGGGCCGTCTTGGGGCCCTCTTGGGCAGCCCCGGGGCCTCTTCGGGCGCGCTTGGGGGCCCATGGGTGCCTGTTGGAGGCCCCTCGGGGCGCTTTTGAGATCCCCCTCGGGGGCCTCCGGGAGCTCCAGTGGGTCGTTTTGAAGCCCTCCGGGAGCGATTCCAAGATTGTGCTGGCTCGGAGTCCTCTCCGGAGCCGATTTTTGGGGGGACGTCTCGAGCAAAAGTGCCAGGTGCGCCCAGCATCCTGCAGTTAGAGAAAGTGTGCTTGTATCTCAGAACCAACGGTGCACGCTG